ATATATATGTTCAGGAAAATCAGATACTGGTGCCGAGAGTGCAAATAATGGATTGTCACTGGATCCAAGCTCTGGGCCCTATGGGTCATGATAGGAATCTGGTGAATACTAGGTACCCTCTTCCCAGAAAAATGCGCACACTTGAAAAACTGTGTGGATAATTCTGGGGAGTTCACAGGCCATCTAAAGCCCATTAAGCCCCCAAAGATTTTGCATTCATACTTCTTGGGAATTGATGCATGCTCTATTTTAGGATACATACAAAGGAAAAAGCTCCTGAAAAGTAGAATTCATTTAAATACAAAAACCCCATATGGCTAGTATTATTGACGCTTCAGACTACATGGAGGCATGACAAACTGAAGGCAAAGCCAGCCTGGAGTGTTGATAGCATGATGTTAGAACTAGAAGGAACAATTTGTTGAAACGAATTTTGACATATAGATGTATGGCCAAGCGAATTGTACCCTACTGCTGCAGGTGGCTCTTAACACTGGAAGCCAAGTTTTTAGGTTTAGGAATTATTTGTATATGTGGGGGGGTGCATATATGTGTACGTGCATTTTAAACAGCTCACAGAACCAGAATCTTAAAATATATGTCAAAAATAATGAATTTCACCTCCAATTCCTTTGGTATTAGAGACCCTAACATTTTAACATTGCTGGTTCCTTTCCAGGATGGACAAGCTTCATTTATACCATATCTGGAGACGTGTACATTGGTAAGTTATGAATCTATCCTTTTGGCTTCAATTTCAATTTTCTTTCTTCATAGTACTGATGGGGTAAAAGGTAGATTGAAATCACTGAATTCTATGGTTCCTTCTCTCCCACACTAGCCCTCTTGCATCCCAGCACAGATATACCCAAGGCAAGCTGTCTCACAGCTTCCAGAATGTTCAGTGAAGGAGAACGTAATACCCATAATGACAGAGCCATTTCACGGTGTCCTGTGTGCAAACAAAAGGTGCACAGTTATAAGTGGTGACACCTTACTAAGATATTGGCAGCCTCCATACTGATATAGGTGTGGAGCTATAGTAGGCTGCAATGAGAGCAGGAATCTGTCTATCTCCTGGGAGGTACATGGGACTGGAAGGTGCACTGGAAGCCCCCAGATGCATCTGAGGTACTCAGAGTTGGTATTCTCCTATTCTAAGGGTTGCATGTATGTTGCTTGTGGAGTCTAGTCAAGAAAGGATACTGGAAAACCAGTTGGCCCCCATTTTATAGATGAGGAATGTGAAATCTAAAGGATTATGCAACGGTAGACCTGTAACCAGAACCAAAGACTCCTCAACCCCAGTTTCCATGCTGCTCCTTAGAGTCTTCGTCCAATGACAATGAGAGGCCACACCATTATGTCTTTTCAAATCAAAACCCCTTAGCCAACTGAGCATCCAGAGAGCCAGGGAACAGCAGGTTAGAGAGAAGGGCTTGCCAGATAGGCTGGTTCCTGCCTGTATCCACTCCCATGCTCCCCATCCTCCTAGAAGCAGCCACGGGTTCCAAAGACTCTGGGACTGGCAGAAGACTGCTGCCCCAGAGGCTGTGAGTGCCCCACCCGTATCACTGGGCCCATACCTCCTCAGTGGCCACTGACAAATTCCCACCTGCTGCGATCTGTACCATTTTCTCTGACACCCGGGGAAGCTGCCTGCTTCCATCAGGCAGGATGAAATGACCGGAGAATTAATGTTGTGGAAGCCACCTGAGTTGGACAGGATACTCCAGAGGCCTGTGTGAGAGGCCTGTTCCTAGACTTTGCCAGTAGGGGTATATCAACCTGCTCGCAGTGGGAGTGCCCTTGGTGAGACACCTGCATTGTCTGCCTTCCATTCCTGTCTAACTCTTCCGACTTCAGGACCTCTGTTCCCTGGGATCACCCCCCAGTTAAACTCCTTGCACCAGAACATGTATCTCCAGCTGTGTGTCTGAGAGAACCCAAAGTAGGAGAAACAGCTTCGCCTTTCCTTTCCACATTCCCAGTGACAGTGATGGGTGGTGTGGAGCATCTCGGGCACAGGCGCCAAGGATCCCCATTATTTCTCAGACCTCTGGTTGTGTGCTTTCTATCCTGTTTCTGCAGGGATGCCGGCCCTGAACTTTGTGGCCGCTAACAAGGCCGCCTCCTTGGGCAGCACACTCTCTGATCCAAGCAGCTGGCTCGCTGATAATATCTGCTCAGGGCTGGAAGGCCACACCCAGAGCCCTTTATTGAAACCATTCTTTATATTTTCCTAAAAGTGTTCAATTGCCAGAAATTTTTCTTCTGGAAATAACAGTATTTTGAACTCATTCCTAAATATAGTATAAATGGGTTTTATTCCTCTTTCACCGAGTAGCATTTCAAAAGCAAAATCCATGTAATTTTAGCATTCTACAAAGGGCAAAACAATCCAGTAGTAGTGTCATAAGTCCCTGTGCACTCATATTAAACTATATTAATCATCTGGAAGTGATGAGACATGTATTTGTTTCTGTGCTCTTTTGAAACTCTTGAGACTCACATAGCACTTTATAAGACTGGGAAAAAATGTTTATGGAGGTAGCACCTAGGATTCATGATTTGGAGAGCAAAAAATAATCTGCACAAAAGGAAAGTGATATAGAAAACACATGAACTCTAAGGTGATAAGGGTTCCAGAAATGCTTTTAGAGAATGAGCAAATGCAGGGAGAAATAGACTTTCTATAAAAGTTCAGATAGCAAATATTTTTTTATCTCTGTGGGCCATACAGCTTCAGTTGCAAGTACTGCCTTTGTAGTACAGAAGCAGTAAATAAGCAAACGGGTGACTGATCCAGAATACTTTGTGAATTTCCTGTATTTTTCATGTATCATGAAGTAGTAGTCTTAAAATTTTTCACCCATTTACAAAGTAAAGACCTTTCTCTACAGAAGCTCCGAACTGATTTTGGGTTATACAACACTGTAGAGGATAAAATGGAGAAAAACTTAGAAGTCATTTTTAAAACCAGTTTTAATCAGTAGTTACAACCTTGTTTCCTGACAGACTTTTAGTCCCAGAAGTGAACAAGTGAAAAGCTCTGCAATTCTTGGGGTGAGAGTGACCTACACATCCACTTGTTTTTCGTGAGGTGAGGCAGGATTTTTCCAAGTCATCTCTACTTGCTGGCCTGCTCCCAAGGGCCGCAAGTGGAAAACAGCTGGCAGGAGATAGGGCTGTGGTGTGTAGTCTTGAGTGAAGTTGCATTTATCCAGAGTAAACTGGACCAGGGAGAGAATCCAGCTCACAAACTAGCCTCTTAGGACTCTTCTCTAACCAATGAGCAAGCAGCCAAATGACCTCATTTAAATTTTATCTTCATTCCTTCCTCCTACCCACCCCAACAGGGGTGTTGATGAGAAAAACAAAAATGCAAGAACAATTCACTAGAGAAAAAGAAATGACAAAACAGAAATATCTATTGAGTACATACTGATTTATAAAATTCAGACAGTGCTTTCTGACTTTATTGCCTCGATTTTATCTTGCTTATAAACCTAGAATGGTACCCGCCAACCACAGATGGCAGGAACTGATAAGCAAGTTAATTGGCCTTTTCAAAATGTCAAGTACTTCCAGTCTGGTCTGTTGAAGTACATGTTGTAAATACATAATTAGGATATCAGGTTAGAATAAATAGGCTGCACTTTAGGTTGAGAAAATAATTTGGGGAAATTTAAGAGAGTTATTTGAAATATTAATTGCCTCAAGATGTGCTTAAAAAGGACACTGGTAAATTTAGTTTGGCTCAATTAATGCCACGATCAGAAGGGTAGAAGAATTTATGTCCTGTGTCCTTGAAGCTTGTTTCACTTTATCACCTTGAATGCTAGTCCCTTAATATGACTGATATCATATAGACTGTCTGGTGCTTCAAGAACACATTTAAAATATGAAAATATTTGCCTGGGATCATTGAAATGACAGCTAACCGGCTTATGAAGACAGTAAAATGTTTACACTTATTTAAATAAGTAGTTATTCATGCTTAGGTGATGTTCAGCTTTTGTTTACAATTCTGGGTGGTGTTACAAAGTTTGACACAGTCCTTGGAAATCACAGTAAAGCTTGGAAAACACACGTGTACATCAGGAGCCCTCTTAATTGTCTTCCACTTAGTTAATTGGACGAATGTGAGCCCTTCATTCCTTGGCCAGTAGTACCTTGAGGAAGATTCCTGGCCACCAAGATGATCAGCTCCTTCCACGAGCACAGTTGGAGTGGATTTAAAGGCAGTGCTGTTTCTTCTCTGAGTGTTCCTGCCAACACACCAATAATTGCAACTGTGTACTTTAATTAGCATGAAAGTCAATGAAATAAGCAAGGAAAACAGGTGATCTTCCTCGAACAAGCAAGTCAAATGCATTGTACAGCGAATTGCTAATGAAAATGTCTGAATTAATATGAGAGGCGACAGTAAGAGATTAGGGGAAACTGTACTACTCAAGCAACATTTAGGTGTTGTACTATGGGTGTGCTTTAAAATGAAAGACAATGTTCCAAACCCATCAGCAGACTCATCTTAACCGTATATATAAAAAACCCAAAGTAATGTACATTTGCTCTTTAAAATAAAAGTGTTCGAGGCAGTTTGTCTTTTTCAATCAGATCAGAGGGCTTCAGCCTATGCATAAAACATTGACGATGTCCAAACCCGCAGTGGAAGTACCTGAATGTGTGGAGCAGAGAGTAAGTAGGTCAGCAGTTCTTAACAAAGAGGGAAAAAAGAAAAAAGAAAGTCAGCATATGCAGAAGGGTTGTACAACAATTGGCAGTACTAAATTTAAAATAGGTTTTAAGGTATTTTCCCCTTTTATGATTATTTAGGTAAAAACATTGCAATTAAATTGTTTTTAATTAAAATTTCCTTGACTGAACTATTAGATGTAACATTCCTGGCAAAAGATCCCAATGGAAACTATTTATTATCTGATTTGGCTATATTTATAATTGAAAGTATATGTGCCGCCGAAGCGAGCACTGTAATTGAAAGTAGTCAGGGACAGTTAAATATATTTTCTTTGAGACTTATTTTAGTTTCAGGAGATAACCAGATGGCTGAAATGTCATAGAAATGACCTGGAAATGGAGATAGAGCCAGTCTTTGCTACGACCTGTTTTAAACATTTAATATGATCACACAGAAATGAAAGGTACACTTAAGATGATTAACCTGGAAACCTGACTCCAGTGTGTATAAGAAAGCTCTACCTGAGGGCGGACTATTTCAAATGACCTTTTGTGTATCACCACTGTGATTTCTCTCATACATTAGCAGAGAGAATTATCAGGGAAGCAGTTGCAGCCCATGTTGAAGTTAGGATGAGAGGCCTTTGAACAAGCTTAACCCTTTGTTTCTAAATTAAGACATCCTTATATGAATATACTGAATATAAATATACTGTTTAAGAATACATTTGACAAGTAAAATACAGTATCAGCACAGTAAAAATAATAATAAAAATAAATGCATTAAGACATCCTTACAAATCAGTCAGTGAACACTGCAGTCAAAGAAGCTATCCTGTTAGGGGTATAGAGAAATTACCAACTCAGCACTATTTTGGAGGGCTACTTCCTGTCAGCTCACTTTATTGGCGCACAGTGCAGGAGTTTATAAGTTGTTTTAGTCTGTGTATCATAAGACATTCTACATGATAAAGTGAGGGGCCAGGAATGAAACACGTGGGTAATATAGAAATCATTTGAGGGCAAAGACATGGCTAATCACTCCCAGGAAATCCCAGGAAAGCACACCTAATAAAATGCTGCTCCATATCTCAGTTAAATATTCTCCAACTCTAAATGAGATTTTTTAACTCTCAGACTTTTCTTTATTGCCAAGTCTTGCATAAGTGGAAAATCGATTGAATTCTGTCATTTATTCCTCTGACATTTGTTGATCTGTATCGTTTTTTGTTGTGGTATTTTTTTTTCCTCACTGAGTTTATTGGTACATTTTAGGTATACAGTAGTTACATTCATCATTGGGATCTTGTACCTTTACATGACAGGTCTTGGTTCTCACTTTTTCCCCTTGTCCCTGCCCTCCCTTCACCCCTCATCCCCTCCCCCTTTACAAACACTTCATTTCCATTTTTTCATTTTCTCATATTTTTTTCTTTTCCCTTATCAGTTTTCCCCTACCCTTCCCACTTTCCCTACACCTTTAGCCCCTTTCTTCCTATTTCACATTGTCCATTATATCATTAGAATCTTATGTACTATTATAGTTTATTCACACCAGAGAAAATTTTTGGTATTTACACATGTTGTTGTGGTATTTGTGGTATTTTTTTACACATGCATATGACATACTCCTACCTGTATCTTTGATGGAAAAGAAACCTTTAGTTTTATGCCAAGGGTGCAAGAGCTGTTTGTGCACATCTTCCCTGACCTCATGCTGGTTACTTGAAATTGGCCAAAAAAGTATTTACACCATGAAAATTGGCACAAACTACACATCAAGTTTGTTCTCCCCCCTAATCCCCCAAAAGCCTGTTATTAAACATTCACCAGTGCACCACTGCCTCTGCAATAGAGCTTCTTAATCTTTTCTGTGCCATGGACCTTTTTGACATCTGCCAAGCACCCTCCCCAGAATATCTTTAAATTCAATGAATTCATTAAAATGGTAATGTTATTGGGTAATTCTTTTAAGAAATGGCTCACCAATTAAGTGTATTCCAGGTCCTCCTACCTTGAACAAAAAATTGAACAAGACAAGCCAAAAGCAGTGGCAAAACTTTATTTGAAAAGCGGGTGAGGGAGAAACTGGCTCTGCAGAGCAAACTCGGGCCAATCAAGAGAGGAAAAAAGAAAAGTGAAAATAAAAGTACACCCTGGGTCTGGGAGCCTCAGGGTGGATTACCATGAAGAGTCATGGATAGCAGGCTCCTTATATGTCTTCCACATCTTGTGGGAACCCACAAGAAGTTCTGCATATGGGGGCCTGAGAGGCGGTGCTGTGTCGATCCTGGGTCCTACCATGCCTCTCTTTCCAGCCAGCCTAAGCCATGCCCTGTTTCTTATCTCCTTAACAGTAAGTTTATGATATAGTTTTATGTGTGCTTCTTGGATGACATTTGAAATAACATGATCTACCAACAAGTCTACTTTAATTCTAAGTAATGGTTATCATAAACTATATTTTGATACTAACATTGACGTGATATTAAAATAGGTGTGATTACTGCTGGAGACAAAGTCATCAGTCTAGCTAAACTAGTGTAGTTTGTTGACTACATTCATGATAGAAGAAAAGCTATGTCTCACTATTACTTGTTAGTAAACATATGTGTGTTACTTCCTGAATTCTGTGTGCAGAGTCCTGAAAAGCACTTTGACTCTGTGTTGATAATTCTTGAACGATTAGAATCCTATTTCATGTTTTCAGGCATCAGCATGAACCTTGATGTCTATTTACAAAGTAGAGGTGAGAAAGGAAGATATCTTTACAAAATACAGCTATGTTTGGACTCCAACCAATATGCCCCCAATTCTCAAATATGTTTCTGTTTCTATAAGAATTCCTTGGGCTCTTGTTCTCATTTAAACAAATACTTCTTTATTAATTATTAAACGTTAGCTCCAGCAGGTCATAGCCCCAAATGTCATACAGGTGTTATCCCCCTGGAACATCTTTAAAAGTTGTTCACCCGGTTTGGAATCTTCCTTCTGGTATCCATTCATATGGCTACTTTTTTATGCAACTGGAAGACTCACCACAAATCTCACCACCTCTCTACAGCCCTCTGGGGCTGGTCTCGTCCACCTTGGCCCCTCCATTCTCCAGGCTCTTCTTGCAGCACTTCTGTTGTAATCGTTAGGTCCTACATGTCCCCTTTCCTGTGAAAGTCATCTTAGACTCTTCTCTCTCCCTCTGTTGCCAAATCTTTTAGATTCTTTCTCAGATCTGTGTTTCTAATCCATCACTAGCAATTTCCACCCTCCCAGTTCAGATTGTAACTCATTTTCATTTAGACCATTGTAGCAAACTCCTAACAATTCATCATAACTTCAGTCTTGCCCCTTACAATTCACTCTGTGCTTTACTTTCAGGATTATTTGTCCAAGACACAGATTTGACGATTCCACACATACACACACCTTCTTCAGTGGCTCTCAGTTTCACATGGATAAGCTTGATGTTCGAGCTTTCTTTGATCTAAAACAAGCCTGCATTTCCACCATTCTTTCCAGAGGAATTCTTGAGCTAAAGTAGGTTTACAGCTTTTCTAGAAGTACCCACACATTACATTTACCTAATCTTGTCTTCTAGAATGCCTATTTCCCAGCTTTGCCTCTTGTAGGCCTATGTAATCCTGCACTATTCAAGTCTTATCTCCCCCACAACAAATAGCCAGGTCCCTAGACCTTAATGAACCCCCATGGCTTCTGTTTTCTCAATAAACTTTCTTATTACTTTTAAGGGTCAATTTCATTTGAATGATTTCACCTGTGACCCTTAGTACAGAAGATTTGAAATTTTACCCATCTTGATTGAAGACCACCTCCCCAGCATTTAGAGTAAAGCCTTGTTCACAGCTCCATGGCTGTTATTCAGTGACTACCCAATTTATTTATCTTTCAGATGAAGTATTCTGTGAACTGCTCACATTTGAATGCATATATTTAATTTTCTCCAATGAGATTTTGAATTGTTTGTATGCAAGAAATCTACTTTGTCTTTCCTTGTATTTTTCCATTGTGCTAGGTAACAGTAGGTGCCTAGTAAATACTTGTTGAAATGAATTAATGATGGCACTTGATAATTTCCCTAAGCATGTTTACTTCTTATGAGGTTTGTAATTTACCTGAGGACGTACTCGTATGATATGCAATGCTGAGCTCTTTGACTGTCGATTGACCTATTAGGGCATGATATTTCAAGTATAAATGAAAACAATGTAAAGTTCCCTCCTTAGTCTTTTGTGCACTGAAAACCAACCAGTTTTAATTTTCAATAGTAGCAATACAATTAACTATTAAGATATAAAGCGATTCTGTTCATATTGAAGTTGAAGCTAATATGGTGCTAAGTATTTGACCACCCCGTGGGATAAATCTGCTGTAACAGGTATTAAAGGTAGTGGGTGATCCTCTTTCTAGGGCCTGATGATGAGCAACAGAAAATAGAACCTCATCACACAGCCGTGCTTGGGGAAGGTGACTGTGTCCAGGTGGAGAACAAGGTAAGTATTAAAAACTTTTCATCTAATTAACTTGTACTTTATACACATTTCCAGAAAATTCCTTAAATGTCCTACAGAGTTGGAACATTTTTTTCTTTCTTGGTGAATAAATTATGCTACAAGTTTATTAGCCCCCTTCCTTAGTTCTGCCATTTTTGTTGGTGTTTGTTTGTTTGTTTTGAGACCAGGTCTTCCTATGTAGTCCAGGCTGGCCTTGAACTCATGGTGACCCTCTTGCCTCAGCCTCCTGAGTGCTGGGATTACAGATGTGCCCTACCATGTCTCACCAAAGCTTCATCTATATTGATTATCTTCAGGAATCACATGAGGTCCCCCATTGTTTACTCTTACTAGTTTGATTCTGGAGACAACATATCTTCATTGTCTCTTAATTTTATTCCTTTGTAAACTTGGTTAATTTTGATCTTAGCGTAAGTAAAAGTGGAACAGCTGTGCAGAAATATATAGATTTGCACGCATACTCATGTGAAACCTTTGGAAAATAATACCAATTTGGAACTGAGAGGAGCATGTGATGTGTTTCCTAGTTCATTTTTTTTGATGAATCTCTGCTTTAAATAAAGTTTCTAGTATCTCAGGAGTCTTGAGAGGTAGTTTTCCCAAGTTTCCAAATTTCTGTCTCAGGTCTGTTTCCTTTCACTAGTAGATAGCTCACATTCCTGTGAATCTCTTAAGGCCATCTGACTACTTTGTGTCACTAACAAGGCACGCTGTGAAGCTAATTTTACAAATGCTCCTGAAAAGAAGAGTTTCGAAAAGCAGAGATGAGAACTATTTCAGCCTAAAGGTGACAGAAAGAGAGGCATTCTAACTCATTTCTGGCCCGCTGACCCTGGCATTATAGAATGCAATGAATTTTAGAAATTATTATGTCATAGTTCATCTCTTTGGCAGCTCACCTTCTGCTGCCTGAGTCATCTGCAGCACTTCAGTGAACTGTAAAATAAACAGAAGAGAAATCTCATGGGTACCAGATGAAATGCGCATCTCAGGGTCTATGCCCTCTAGTATTTGCTTGAGCCGTATGCAACTGCCACTTTGACCTACAAATGTGGCAATTTCACAAGGTCCAACCTAGTACAGAAAAGAAGAATGAAATCTCCACATAGGCCAAAACCTACTGATCTCAGATTAGTTTACCATATTATCTGATTTTACCTGGCAATCCCAGTTCGTCTTGTAATATAACAATACAGATAATAAGCACTGAAAGTTAAAACAGATCACCAGAAAAAAGTGATGAAGGACAGCCGGGGATAGAAACAAATCAGCTGAAACCATCAATTCATTGGCAAGCTGCACTCCTGGCTCGAGGGACTTTCTGTTACATGCAATTATGTCATTGTTCTGGGTAGAACCATAGCCAGTACCATCAAAGCCTTGGAAAGGTCTCTATTAAAACCGATATTTAAAAGAATGAGCACTTAAAGACGGCATGGTTGCTTACAGCCACAGGTTGGTACAAAATCTCCCTTATATTAAAACAGGAAGGAAATAGTGAAGATTTGAATCTTGGCTTTGACTCTTGTTAGCTATGAAACTTTTAACATATCTCTCAACCTCTCTGAACCTCATTTTCTTTGTCTTCAAAACTGAAATAACTGAGGCCAACTACATGGGATCGTTAATAATATCTGAGATTGTGTATATTAGGAGTCTGCTCCAGCTGTAGCACAGGGGTCAATAAATGATGTCCAATAGGCGAAGTCCAAGTATGTTTTTGTACATACCTCATAAAGTTGTATTGGACCACAGCCATACCATCCATTTCTGTTTTGTCTCTGAATTCTTTCACACCATAAAGAAGTGAATTGTTAGCTCTGAGACTGAATGAACCACAAAGTTTTGTAATCTCTGGCCCTGGATAGAAAAATTTTGCCAATTCGTAGTATATAGGTATACTATAGATACCCAGGACTGATTGAAGCAGTGAATCTAACAGACAGTCATACCACATACATGTTGTTTAATGAAGAATCATATCTTTGGTTCAAAGGCTTAGGGAACATAACAATTTCTACGGCTAGAAAGAGGTCCCCAGGGACCCTGATGGAGTCAGGCTTTAAGCCATAGTTATCCTCAGGTGGATCTAACCTTAGCCTGAGGATGAATAAAGAAGGAAGCTGTGACTTTCTAGAGTTCCACTAACTTATAGTCAAGAATGAGAAACTTATGTAGTCCCTGTCTTTCTTCTGGGTCTGTCTTTCCTGCACTATCACTCTAGCTCATTTCTGTGTTTTCTGTCATGATGCCGACCTTCTTGGTTAAACAGCAGTTTAGGCAGTTCCTTCATGAGAATCTATAGGACAGGTGAGGAGGGCAAGAAATGAATGATGTAGAAAATCATGTCTTCTCCCTGATTCAACTTTCCTTGCTCTATGTTAGCATTTATTTGACCTATCTCAGGCTGGAACATGTCCACCTGCAGGGACTCCTGACTTCCTCACTCACAGAGTGAAGAGTTTTTCATGACCATTATTCTGAAGCCTGTCAAAGCAGGTAGCAACTGTGTGGGCTTGCTTTATAATAGATTTAAGAGCCTTTGGGCGAAACTCTGAATTCTTGGAGGAAACCCAAAGCACAGTGGCTTCAAAATAGACTTAAATTTTTCAGAGTGATTGGAATCAACTCCAGGCTACTCTGGACATTTATTCTTGGACTGATACCATTCACTCTGGAATAACTCTGGAATAACCTGTTTTGAGGCCTAGGGCTTCCAGTGATGCATTGGCTGGCTCGCAGTTGGCACGCAGCATGATGGTTGCCCTGATAATGGCTCCATGATTAGGAACACATAAGCTTGATATGAAACACTCCATCTCATCTTTAGATGCATGTGTATACTAGTGTCCTCATTGAATTAGCAAATTCATTTGTTGTGCACTGAGCTGAACAATCAGTTCCACACTGGCTGTCATCAAAACCAACCATACTTGGGAGTAACTTCTTAAACTGGTGCCATCCATGGAGAACTCATTAAAACAATAAAGATTAACATTTGATTCAATATAACATTTAATTAAAATAACCACTGAAAGTCAGAAATAAAACAAAAAACTGTATTAAAACTAGAGACAACCTTTTTCCTTATTTATATGTAAAAGTTTGTGATAAAAGACAACACTGATTTTTTAAAAACTTATACCAGTTCATTGTTTCATCTTTCCAGTGGCCCCAGAAACATAGTAAAAGCAGTTGCATGCAATTAAGTCATGCTCAAATTCGGTTTCTCTTTCGTAATCTTGTCAGGTAATATATCACTAAAATAAATACTCCACTGTAGCAAAAGCTTGCCCTTTGATCAATTGTCAAAGTCCTATTGTTATCTCAAACTTTGTATTTATAGTCAGTCAAATGAATTGAGTTAGAAACTCATAGTTTAGAAATTATCAAGACAGTCAGTGAATCGCAGGACTCTCATTTGAGCTTTATTCATTTGCTGTTGGTATCTGTGGAACTCAAAACATAACTTGGCAACAACATTTGAAGAATAATGGGCAATTTTTAAAGCTGAGCTTTTAAGCTGCAAAGAGCCTATCTGTGAACCAGGAGCTCTGGGAAGATGCCCCCAAATAAAAGACATGATCTCAACCCCCAAAGATTATGGATTTTCATTGAGGTAATTGTGCAAGAACTAGTAAGTGGGCCTCTGTTACCTCTGAATGAGTTTTCCTCATCAAATCCCATACAGACATTAGCATTACCCTAGGACTCATATTTTAAACACTTACTTCATTCTCTTTGCTTTTGTATGATTTTCATCATTTGATACTATAGAAAAAGTCACCAAGATAATAGCAACTGGGACTTTGAACCATGTCAGTACTCCACTAAATACCCAGAAAGATGATAATATTTTATCAAAGAAGATCAGTTAAGGAAAGCAAAAATCACACATTTAAGAAAATAGACCAAAAACCCCAGATCTGATTTACATTGGAAGAGAGGAGGCACTCAGAGGTTTAATTTGCAGAAAAGCCATGGAAAGAAGATTGGCACATTTTCCAGATTTCTGCAGTGATCGAATCTCCAACTCCTCAACTCCTGGGAGCTTAATAATTTTTCATTTCAGACAAAACACCCATATCATTTTATCTTATTCTTCAAGTAATAATTGTAAGCTCATCATTTTATTTGAGTAATATATAAAAGAGCAAATCTTTTATTGTTAAGACTTTATCATTCCAGAATGTGTAAACTATACGGTATGCTTGGCATTCACAAAAGATCTTTCTTCTGAGTTAAGAAACTTAGATTCTTGGAAGTCAGTACATACTTACTAGAGGAGGTCAGCTTCTCTGCCCTCTTTTAACCCCTAACAATTTTTTTCTGTGATTCCTGTGCCTAGAAATCAAGCATGCCTCCTTGCTCCCTGCAAAAAACAATCCTTAAAACACTGTTATATTACAACTTCTTTTACAGCATTTTAAAATCAATGTCATGTTTCTTTTCTATTCTTATTAGTACACATGTGCTAAGTACATGATGTTTCCATTCATCATCTGGAGTTGGTGAATGTACATAGCACATCTTAATTCCTCTTATTTCCCCCTCCTTTCCATCCCCTCCTTGCTGCATTTTCTCTCACCCCTCACTCCATCTCTTTTTTCTTATAATCTGTCTTTTATTTTGCTTTTAATTTATATTTTAGGTTACTCATATAAGAGAAACCATGCAATATTTAAACTTGTATGTCTGATTTATTTCACTTAACATGGTCTCAAGTTGCATCTATTTTCCTACAAATAACTCAACTTTATTTTTCTATTTATTCCACAATACTGTGTGGAAATCCTACATTCCAAGATTTAGCTATAGTGAAGTGCGCTGCTATGAACATGGGTACCCATGTATCTTTAATTTTTGTTTTGTTTTATTTTTTCTCGTACTGGAGATTGAACTCAGGACCTTGCTCTTGCCAGGCAGGTGTGGCTCCACTGAGCTACATCCTTGGCCCTTGTAATATGTTTTTATTAACT